CCGCGGCAAATCCCGTTTTGCAAACGCTATGGTCCTGTAAAAACATCTACTGTTAAACGCTGCAGTGAGCTGAACTCACCCTCCTCCCTAACCTCTGGGGAGTCGTTGATCTCGTTAGGCCCTGATAACACCAAATATTTTATTCCACTACTTAAAACTCAGCTGATATTTTCTGAATATGTTTGGCTAAATCAGAACATAGATTTGTGTTCTTCCTCAGTTTATTCAGAGAAAATACGAAGAGTTTTACGTTCATACTCATCAGGTTTCATGTCCTTTCAAATTAAGCTTCTCTTTTTCATCAGACTGACTGTAGAGGACCAAACGGAAACAGAAGATTTGCTGTGGCCTGTAGCGGTTTGTGACGGGGGCCAGATGTGGGAAAGTGTGAAATACGCTGAAATCTTCAGGGGATTAGGTTCAGAGCTGCATTACATGTGCTAGAAGGGTAAGACCTGAGACCTTCTGATGGATTCCTACTTCTCTCAAACCTTCTAGCTTCACTGTCCAAACAACGAGCTTGTTGTCCTCAATGTATCCCTTGTTCTTAAGGGACAAGTGGACCACTGATTCTGAGGCTTTCAGAATCAATCTCAACTAGACTGGTCCAATTTTTCTTTTTGATACGAAATCTTGGTATGTAGAAAATTTTGCTCAATAAGCTAACAGAATTAAACCTTAGGAGGAAATGCAAAAATGAGTCTTAAACATGTATGACATTTAATAACTAACACATTGTAAAACATGGAGGGTGATCTGAGTGGGGTGGCATTTTTGGCGCCACAGACTTGTGGAGAGAGATTGCTCAGAGGGCAAAGCTTTACTTCACCCATGAAAAGAGCAGAAAACATCTTACACCGGAGGAAGAAATCTGTCAGTGTAAAGCTCTCTGACTTCTGTCCACGCAGGTTTGTGTATGCACACCTTATCGGTGCTCGTGTGTAATCTGCTTGTGGATGTGGAGGTCTTTTGTATGTAGGTTTCTGAAATGTTGTAGACATGGTTTTGGAGGCCAGTGAAAGAAGGATACAGTAGAAATAAAAATATGGTCAGCAGGTTGTGAAAGACTCCGACCAGCCCGTTAAAGACACAGTCAAAGCCACTTAAATCTGCGTTCATCTTCTTTCTGATGCTAAATATGAACTTCAACAAGTCATGTCAACCAGGGGCGGTTCTAGGATCAGAGGTTTAGGGGTGCTGAGCACCCAGAGAGATGCTCATCCAGCCAAGATGAGTTTTGTATATTTTAACACAATTTCATTGCCATCATTGTTTGCAAAACAAAAGCAAAACATTCTTTTCCACAAATCAAAAACTTTTCACAAACCCAAAATATGCTTTACGGATTCTGCTATTGCCAGGGCCAGATTTTCATTGCAGGGGCCCCTGGGCACGTGTCTCCTGTTTCCTTCCTCCCCTTATCTCCTGTCTCCTTCCTCCTCTTGTCTCCAGTTTCCTTCCTCCTCTTATCTCCTGTCTCCTTCCTCCCCTTGTCTCCTGTCTTCTTCCTCCTCTTGACTCCTTCCTCCCCTTATCTCCTGTCTCCTTCCAACTCTTGTCTCCTGTGTCCTTCCTCCTCTTGTATCCTGTCTCCTTCCTCCTCTTGTCTCCAGTTTCCTTCCTCCTCTTATCTCCTGTCTTCTTCCTCCTCTTGTCTCCTGTTTCCTTCCTCCTCTTGTCTCCTGTCTCCTTCCTCCTTTTGTCTCCGGTCTCCCTCCTCCTCTTCTCTCCTGTCTCCTTCCTCCTCTTGTCTCATGTCTCCTTCCTCCACTTGTCTCCTGTCTCATTCCTCCCTTTGTCTCCTGTCCCCTTCACCCTCTTGTCTCCTGTCTCCTTCCTCATCTTGTCTCCTGTTTCATTCCTCTCCTTGTCTCCTGTCTCCTTCCTCTTCTTGTCTCCTGTTTTCTTCCTCCTCTTGTGTCGTGTCTCTTTCCTCCCCTTGTCTCCTGTCTCGTTTCCCCTCTTGTCTCCTGTTTCCTTTCTCCTCTTGTCTCTTTCCTCCCCTTGTCTCCTGTCTCGTTTCTCCTCTTGTCTCCTGTTTCCTTCCTCCTCTTGTCTCCTGTCCCTGTCCTCCTCTTGTCTCCTATTTCCTCCCTCCTCCTGTCTTCTGTCTCCTTCCTCCTCTTGTCTCCTGACTCCTTCCTCTCCTTGTCTCCTTTCTCCTTCCTCCTCTTGTCTCATGTCTCCTTCCTCCTCTTGTCCCCTGTTACCTTTCTCCTCTTGTCTCCTTCCTCCTCTTGTCTTATGTCTCCTTCCTCCTCTTGTCTCCTGTCTCCTTCCTCCCCTTGTCTCCTGTATCCTTCCTCCTCTTGTCTCCTGTTTCCTTCCTGCTCTTGTCTCCTGTCTCCTTCCTCCTCTTGTCTCATGTCTCCTCTTGTCTCCTTCCTCCTCTTGTCTCCTATCTCCTTCCCTTCTTGTCTCATTTCCTTCCTCCTCTTGTCTCCTTCTTCATTTTGACTCCATCTCCTTCTTCCTCTTGTCTCATGTCTCCTTCCTCCTCCTATCTCCTGTCTCCTTCCTCCTCTTGTCTCCTGTCTCCTTCCTCCACTTGTCTCCTGTCTTCTTCCTCCTCTTGTCTCCTGTCTCCTTCCTCCTCTTGTCTCCTGTTTCCTTCCTACTCTTGTCTCCTAACTCCTTCCTCCCCTTGTCTCCTGTCTTCCTCCCCTTGTCTCCTGTCTTCCTCCTCCTCTTGTCTCCTGTCTCCTTCCTCCTCTTGTCTCCTGTTTCCTTCCTCCACTTGTCTCCTGTCTCCTTCTTCCTCTTGTCTCCTGCCTCCTTCCTCCTCTTGTCTCCTGTTTCCTTCCTCATCTTGTCTCCTGTCTCTTTCCGCCTCTTGACTCCTGTCTCCTTCCTCCTGTTGACTCCTGTTTCCTTCCTCTTCTTTTTGTTTCCTCTTGTTGGTCTCCTCTCTTGCCTTCAGAAAAACTGCTTTCTGGCCTTTCTATTAGTAAATTAATTTACAATGTCATCAAAGTCCAGATTCCCGACAAGGCAAGATTCAACAGCCATCAGTGACAGTGCACTGAGGCACTGTTGAGTTTGTGTTGTTCTCAGTTTTTATTCTTGCCATTTGTGAAAATTGTTCCCCTTCACAACTTGTAACTGGTAGCAGGCATGTTGCAACCTTGTCAAAAGTGTGGGGGATGTTGTCTGTGCCTAAAATAATTTCATGTTATTCATCTTGTTAGTTTAATTTCCATAATAGCTGAGCAGGTGCGAACTTTAGACGGGTCACACATGTCTCAGTTTTAAACATGTTTTAACTGTTCAGAATACAAATCCAGGCTCTGTCTCTTTAGATTGGTGCAACTAAAGTTTGTACTGAATGAAATGTTTACATTAAACCATGTTGAAAAGGTAAGAAAAGGATCCGATTAAATCCTTTTCCCACTCATTTACAGGCAGTACAGCGCAGTGTGCATGGCTCTGGGGTTAATCCAGTTTCTCTTTGCAACAATCTTCACAAGAAGGCAAAACAGTTAAATGGCAGGTTACAGATATTTCCATTTGACTGTTTGTTTTGACGGATAAACTCAAGGATGGTGCTTAGTTTTGAAAGAATTACCCCGACACACATTGCTGCGCACACAGATGAGCTGACCTTTTAATCGTTACGCACATCGCGGAGGTAACTAAATCAATCAGGAAGTGATTCCCATCAGAACATCAGAGCTTTATACTGGACATGTGCTCAGCGCGGCTCGGAGCGCACACAGTGGACAGTGAGCTGAAGATCTGTAGATGAGATCACAGCGCAGCGGTAAGATTTCCTCCCACTGAAGCGGTCTGGAAACCCGGTCTCTCTGAGGGATCTGTCACTTGGAAAAATGTTCGCTGATTATAAAACTTTGGCTGAATAGCACTTTTTCCCATCTCCAACGCATGACGCATCCAGTCTGAGGCAGAATAGCCTCTTCAGGTCAGAAAGCACATGTAGAGACATTTGATCACGCAAAAAGTTTATGTGGAGAAGAAGCGGTCGGGCCATGGCAGGTGAAACGTTCCTAGCCTACATGAAGTGAAACTGTTTAATTGTAACATTAATATGTTACTGGACATGCTGGTCTGGTTGGTTAGACCAGTGTTTGAAGTGGAAAACACACACACACACACACACACGCACGCACGCACGCACGCACACACACACACACACACACACACACACGCACACAAACGCACCAATTAAAATAATGCTGATAGCGTGGACTAGAAGACAAGTGATAGTTTATGTATGTAAATGATGATCAGGCTGCTGTAAAATGTAATCTCCATCCACATCCAGACACAATTATCCTCTATTCTTTCTCTATTTTCTCTGCTCTTGTCTGGGCTGACGTAGCTGATGGTGCGGTACCCTTATGAACGGTGAGAGGTACATATAAGAAGTGCAGGTAGAGTTAAAAAATCCGCAGGGCCACAAACACATCAGTGAAGATGGACTGTAGACTATTTATTAGCCCGTAAACAATCATTGTTCTATTTATATTACATTATTCATGTGGACTCTGCTGGGATTATTTAGAGCTGAGAGGCGCATAGCTCTGATCGTTGACGCGCTCCAGACAGATGCATCCTGAGAACGGCCACAGTAACATTCTCAAAGTGTCGCCACCTCAAAAACAAATGTAACATGCAATCCTTTATGTCGGCTCATATCCTTTCATGCTTTCTGTCTTTTATTTGTGCCTGATTCATTTTACTGCTGCGGAGCAGATAACCTGTTTCGTCCTCCGGTGATTTCACCTCACCGGTGCGGCCGGTGCGCACCCCGCTGTTTTTGCGGTCAGTAGATCTTTTAGAACTGCAGTTCAAAGGTAATTCATAAGGTGAATATATATGGAGCCATGAAGCAGTTTTTCTTTAGGACTTACAATATCAATGGTCCCCCATCATCGCTATGGAACCGATCAAAGGAGCCCAGAGAGATTGATTTGAAGTGGAAGCAGAGGCTAAATCAAGTGTAATATGATCTAACAAAATGTTGCTTCTTTTCTACTCACCATTTCGATCAATAGCAAAAGGAGTGTTAGTGGTGGTGATCTGGTAGTTGCAGATTTGGCTGTACTGAGGGGAACAGTCCTGATCGGTGGCCTCTACTTGCAGAATGCTGTCGTAGATCTTTCCTTCTGTAACAGCAGCTCTGTACTGGGACTCCCGAAACACAGGGGCAAACTCATTCACATCATTGACCTGAATGTGCACCACCGCTCTGCAGAAAACAGAGGAAACAGACAGCCCATAAGCAGATATTAATAAAAGAGAGTGTCATCTGCATAGAGTGTTTTCAGAGCTAGGACAGTATATTTATCTTCAAAAAACACGCTCTGTTAAAGGTCCAGGGATTGGACTGCTGAGAACTGGAAGAAAGTAATTTTCGCTGAATTATTTTCTTTTTGAATGTTCAAAGCATCTAGAAAAAGACCTTTGTGAACATTTAATGGTGAGAGCTAACATCAGTCTTGTGTCCTCCAACAGTAAAGCCTCTTGATGCATGTGTGTGTGTGTGTGTGTGTGTGTGTGTGTGTGTGTGTGTGTGTGTGTGTGTGTGTGTGTGTGTGTGTGTGTGTGTGTGTGTGTGTGTGTGTGTGTGTGTGTGTGTGTGGTGGGTGGGGTGCTTCTCAGCCAAGGGAGTGGACTCACTCGCTATCTAGCCTCAAAGCACCCATTCATAAAGAATGGTACCTAAACATCCTCCCAGAGGAACTCCTCCAACAGCCGCGTAGTTATGATTAACACCAGCATGATGGGACACCGGGTCAGGAGGATAAAGTCAGAACTTAGTGGATCAGGAAAAAATTCGATCAAAACTTAAACCTGAATCCCATTTAGAGTCTTTGATCAACCAGCAAGAGTTTTCCGATAAGACGTTCCCTCCATGTGTCCGGATATCAATCAATCAATCAATCAATCAATCAATCAATCAATCAACCAATCAATCAATCAATCAATCAAGGCTTTATTTATATAGCACCTTCCTCACCCATTACGGGAGGCCAAGGCACTGAAGAACAAAATACAATCATGATAAAAGAGATTAAAACATTGAACATGAAACTACCGGTACTTAAACTACATAAAGTAAGCCAACTTCAAGCATGTTCAGGAAATGCTAAACAAGATGGACCAGAAGTGGACTGACAGCAAGATCAGATGAGTTGCAGTATTCTTAAAATAGAACAATGAAATATCATATAAACATCATGTAACTGTACGTAAACATGTCTGAAACAGATGAAATACTTCAATGACCACAGAAAAGCTTGACGAAAGGTGTAAAAACACAAAAACTTGAATAATTCTCTTAATATTCGACTGTAGCTGTTGCACCAGTGTGTGAGCTGTAGAGATGTTTGTGAATACAGATGAACATGTGGTTTATGGGGCTAGTAGTCGAGCATTGTACAAAAGGAAATATCAGTATATAAGGTCAGAAAACCTGCGGATTTAATATTCCTTTGCACACAAACATGAACACAGACAAGGTTTTGTTTTTCACCTTCATTAAACACAGTAAAATCCTTTATCTGGAAACAGAAGGAGCAGCAGCTGGAGAGGACTACCTCAGGAAAACGCTGTGGTGGCAGAAGAATAACCCTCTTGTGTTTTACTAAAATGCTAACTGGATTTTATTCTAGCATGTCCATTTTGTTTCTACTGACGTCTGATCTACTGCCAAAGTACCCAAACAGCTAAGCTTTAATTAGTCCATCAGCAGCATCTCAACTCATCATGTCAATCAGCACCATTACTCTTAATGTGTGTATTAATGACTTCTGTGTTGTTGTCGTTGCATATAAATTACACATCTGTAATTTACTTTGAAAAGTCATTTTGCACAATAATACTCAGCAAAACCAAGTCATAAGGATGTAATAAACAACCTGAGTGGCAAATTATTCAGTGATAATAAAACTCCACTGAGAGGAATCATTTCATGATGAATCGGGGTAAAAAAACAATCTTTTTCCATAGGTTGGCTCAACAAAACATCAGACCAATGGCTGCAGGTTACGGTGGAGTAGTTGGATAGAACCGTGTAAACCGGGCCAAACGCCGACAGCCACCAGGTGTCTGATGCTGTTTGTACAGCAGGCGAGGAGCATGATCCTGACTGTCCTCCAGGTGAGTTTAGCCTCGAACTATTAGAAATCCATCGGCCTTGTCAGTGTTCACAAAGACCAACAACATAAAATCGATGGTGTGTCTTTTTCCTGAAGATGAGGGGCAGTAGGTTCCTTAACTCATTCACTGCCATTGACGACTAAAGTGGTCATTTTAAATCCAACCGTTCACTGCCAATGACGCAAGTTTTCACTGTGTGGGCATCAGACGAGCCCCCGCACCGTGAGAACAAACATCTCAGCTCTGAAGCCGATCTTCATCCGCATACGTCACAAGTCACGTGATCAGGAAGCAGAACATCCATGTGTTAGGAGATCGTTTTGGGCCGCTGCTGTAAAAAAAGTGAGGCGCGAACCGGAAAAGCTTCTGCCGATCACAATTCAACAACGGATTATGAAAGAACGTATAACGCTCGAAACACGCGGATTCTTCCTGATGTAAGAGGTGTCTCCTCTTTGTTTTGGTTGTTTTGGTTGTTTTGGCGTCGACATCATCCTAGCGCGTAACATTCTGTGACTCTTAAAAAAACAGTAAAAACGGTGAGAAACGCTGGCAGCGAATAAGTTAATCAATCCAAGCAAGAAGTATTTTAGTGTTTGAGTAAGACCTTACCAACGGATGGCCATTTGGGTCAAAAATCCCTGGGAGCACAACCTCCAGGTAAATGACAAGCACATCAGACCTGAGTGATGAGGTAAATGTGTAAAAAAAACATTTATGAATGACGGAACTTTTGTAACCATTTGTTGCAAATCAGTAAATGCATTTTGTCCTCACGGGCTCCCGTAGAAGGACCACGGCATCTGATATGGTATCGTCCAGAGACTTAGACCCACTCCATGGGTGTCTCTCAATGTCGAGGCGCCTTGCCTTGCGAGGCGATGTCTTGCGAGGCCAGGCGCCTTGCTTACAAGGACACTGTCCTTCCTTGGTCAAAGAAAACAATTAAATGGAACAGACTTGCATCACGTGACCGCAGCTTCCACGGCGGTCACGTAATGTGACATGACACGAGAGATAACGTTATATTTTGTACGTATTAGTTTCAATATAAATGTATAACGAGCCTTTTACTTTTAAATTGTGTAATGTTTATTAAATTAAATATATAGGTGAGTTACTACCCGCTAGCCACCGAAGCTGCAACTACTATGCAACTAACCAACCATAGATAACAACTGTAGTTCTAAAAAAACATTTTAAATTAGCTGACTTACGTTTAAACTTGAAATTTGCACCAGAAGTAGCTGCCGCCTTCTGATGCGCCATCCTTTTGAAAATACTGTGGTGTATTCTGTGTAATTTTTGACCAAGGCTAGGCTACAAGACACCTCCCATGTATCCTCGCTCAGCTAGCTAAACGGCTACCAAACGGAGAGCACACGCCTCAGTAGAACATGAATATTGGAGCACGCCTTGGTGGTTCCTGATGACATATCTCCGAGGCCAGTGGTTCCTAACCTGGGGGTCCCGACCCCCAAAAGGGGGCGCCAAAGCCTCTCAGTGGGTCGCCAGGACCTCTCCACTTTAAGGGGTTAAAACTTTATTTATTACTTGTTTATAGCCTACATTGTCTCTCACATTTTTTTTCATGAGTGAAAAGTTTACTGATATCAAGACAGGAAATAATAAGTACAGAAAGAGTAACACACTTTTAAGAACATTTTGCTCAGCTCACTGTTTTATTTTCAAGTGTCAAAAGTTCATTAAAGATAGGACTGGTTGATTAATCACAGCCTTTACAGTAAATAATCTAGTATAAACAGTAATATACACATTTAAGTACATTTTGCTCAGTGTATTTTTTATGTGTCAAACGTTTATTGAAAGGAATGATTGATTTATCAGTGTTTACAAGAAACAATGTGTTCAGAAAAGTAATACAAACTGTCAAGCACATTATGCTCTGTTTGGTTTTGTTGATGACTTTGTTCTGTACTGGAGCCTACTATTACTGTTATCCATTGAATCAAAGCATATTAGAATGTGCTTGAACAATTTTATCATTTCTTAATACAGTTTGTACTGGAAGAGAGAAGGGGAGGGGGTCGTCAAAAATTTTACTGGTAAAAAACGGGGTCCCTTGGGAAAAAGGTTGGGAACCACTGTCCTAGGCAACCGGGGTGGGGCCCAGACATCAAGGCGAGGTTCCTTGGCATTGAGAAACACCCCATGTATTTTAGACCCGATTTTGATGGTTATATGTTACGAAGCCACCAATATTTTTCAACAGCTGGGCATCATTTAATTATGCTTCAACAACATTTTAGTGGATATTCCAGAGACTAATGCTAAAAACTACACATTGCCTCTTTAAACACCACAGTTAAGCTGTAGTACCGCTAGAAAAGCATCAAACCATTAGAAAATGTCTATTATCAGCATTAGAAGTATTTCCTGAAAATTCCAGGTTTACAACTTTATTCATCTTTGTGTGGGATCGAGTTTTATGATTTTTTATTTTCTGACCTGATTTTACTCGTAAAAAAGGCCACCAGAGCTTCATCTTCATCTGACCATCAATGTTTGTTTCCTGAGATTTATATACCAGCAGTATGACAACGCATGTATTTGTGAAGTTGATGTTTTAAAAGGCCTTTTTTCTTTTTTGACATGTTTATTTGGACTTAAGACAGTGATTTTTAAAAACAATAAACATAACGAACAAATAGATATATTCAATTAGAAGAGAGGAAAAACGTCCTAGCCCAAAGGGAGTGGGAAGAAGCCAATGCTTTTTCAACGCCACCACGTTGCCACACACAAGTCTATCAAAATAAAACGTGCACGTTTTACGCAAACCTCAGAGCCAATAATCTTAACTATACTATGATAAATAATATTAAAATAACAGTAATAGCTAGTAATAATATAAAATCATATAAATATTAAAAATGAATAATAACAATACTATCTAATAATAATAATAACCATCATCATGACATTTTTATAATCGTCCGATTAATGTTTCTGTTATTATCCTGGTAAGCTATTATCATAGTAAGTTATCCGGAACCCTCAAACGACATCTTCAGTTTTATTTTTCACACCATTTCCTTATGTCTGATTTTAAATTGATGAATATTT